TGTCAAAAATAAAAAATAAAATAAAAAAGGTTGAACTTTCAAATTAGCTGCCTTTAATGTAAATATAAACTACCTAAAGAATATCTATATACTTACACAGAGTATTTTTTTTTAACTCTAATGGAAGAGCTTTTAATTATGGGAAAGGGGGGTAAAGATCTTCCTCGTATAAAATATCTTTGCTGCTTTTCAGTCTTCCACTGAAATAGGGCTACTTTGGTGTAGGACCAGGGTTCATCTCAATAATTGTGCAGCCATGGGTAAATTAGCATCCCTAGTTTTCTCGTCTATAAGTTTGGGTTTGCAATACCTACTTAACCTACGAGCTTATCTTTGGGATTGTTGGTGTGAGGCCTGGAGTTAATGTCTGTGAAGTACCTGAGCACAGTCCTTGTATCTGACGAGCATCAGGAGATAGGAAAGGAATACAGACACACCGCCCAAACTCACCCCTTCAGAGTCTGTGCCTTGGAGCTGGCGTTGTGGCAGAGTGGGTTAGGCGATTGCTACCTGCAATGCCAGCATGTGTACGCTGGTTCAAGTCCCAGCTTCTCCCTTCTCCACTTCTGGTCCAGCTCCCTGCTAGTGTGCCTGGGAAAACAACAGAGCTTGGCCCAAGTGCTTGAGCCCCTGCAGCCCTCCCTCTCCCCACTCCTCTTACCCACTCACCCCCATAACTCTGCCTTTCAAATAAATAAATCTTTTATTAAAAGGGGGATGCTGGCATTGCAGGCAGCAGCTGCCTACCCAGTATGCCACAGCGCTGGCTCCCAGGCGCAGACTCGGAAGGGTGAGTTCGGCTGGTGTGTCTCTATTCCTTTCCCTATCACTGCTCAAGTACTTCACAGACATTAACTCCAGTTCTCACACCAACAATCCCAAAGATAAGCAGGTAGGTAAGTAGGTATTACAAACCCAAATATATAGACGAGAAAACTAGGGATGTTAATCCATGGCTGCACAATTACTGAGATGAACCCTGGTCCTACATCAAAGTAGCCCTATTTCACTGGAAGACTGAAAAGCAGCAAAGATCCTTGTACGAGGAAGATCTTTACTCACCACTCCCGTTATTAAAGGCTCTTGCACTGGAGTTAAATACTCAGTGTAAGTGTATAGATACTCTTTGAGTGGATTATACTTACGTTAAAGGAAGCTCATTTGAAAAGTTCAAACTTGGGCTGGCGCCGCGGCTCACTAGGCTAATCCTCCGTCTTGCGGCGCCGGCACACCGGGTTCTAGTCCTGGTTGGGGCGCTGGATTCTGTCCCAGTTGTCCCTCTTCCAGCCCAGCTCTCTGCTGTGGCCTGGGAGTGCAGTGGAGGATGGCCCAAGTGCCTGGGCCCTGTACCCACGGGAGACCAGGAGAAGCACCTGACTCCTGCCATCGGATCAGCGCAGTGCGCCGGCTGCAGCGCGCCAGCCGTGGCGGCCATTGGAGGGTGAACCAACGGCAAAAGGAAGACCTTTCTCTCTGTCTCTCTCTCTCACTGTCCACTCTGCCTGTCAAAAAAAAATAATAATAAAAGTTCAGACTTGGGGCTAGCGCTGTGGTGCAGCAGGTTAAAGCTCTGGCCTGAAGCACCAGCATCCCATATGGGTGCCGGTTCTAGTCCCGGCTGCTCCTCTTCCAATCCAGCTCTCTACTGTGGTCTAGTTTTGCAGTGGAAGATGGCCCAAGTCCTTGGGCTCCTGCACCATGTGGGAGACCCGAAAGAAGCTCCTGGCTCCTGGCTTCGGTTCAGTGCAGCTCCGCCGTTTTGGCCATCTGGGGAGTGAACCAGTGGATGGAAGACCTCTCTCTGTCTATACCTCTCTCTGTAACTCTGTCTTGCAAATAAATAAAATAAATCTTAAAAAAAAAGAAAGTTCAAACTTAAGAAATACTGTTTTGAAAAAAATTTTATTTATTTATTTGAGAGTTACACAGAGAGAGAAAGAGATCTTTCATCTGCCAGTTTACTCTCCCCAACCCCACAAATGGCTGCAACAGCTAGGACTGAGTCAGGCTGAATCCAGGAGCCAGGAGCTTCTTCTGGATCTTGCACATGGATGGTAGGGGCCCAAGCACTGGGTCATCTTCTGCTACTTTCCCAGGCACATTCACAGGGCGCTGGATCAAAAGTGGAGCAGCCAGGTCTGGAACCGCACCCATATGGGATCTGGTGTCACAGGTGGTGACTTTATCCACTACGCCACAACACTAGCCTCTCAAATAAGTAAATAAATCTTAAAAAAAATTAAGCAGTTAAGCGAATGGAATCTCCGAGTGGGGAATGTTGTAGGCAGGCATATAGGATAAAATTGATCAGGTTTGTGAGCTTGAAGAACATGCCTTCCCCACACCCCTGTGTGACCTCATGCCCCTACCTGGCCACACCTTTGTGCCCACCGGCCAATCAGGTTAATTAACCACCCATTTTGGAAGTGGATTAAAGGCCTGGGACATGGTGGGCCCAGCCCTTTTGGCCCCTTTTTGGCCTTTTGCCATCGTGGGCCCTTGATGCCCTGTGCCTCCAGGGCATGTGGCCTTTGGGCCACTTGCCCCATGCTTCCTGGCCTGCATGCTCCTCCACGTGGCTGGCTCCTGGTCGGTATGAATCCAGACTTCCCTCTCTCTTTCAGATAGGACCCTCACTCCTTTGCATTTCTCACTGAATAAAAAGCTTAAAACTTAAAAAAAAAAAAAAAACAGTCTGTGCCTATGTTAGTTAGTGATCACATTTAAAACTGTAGTGGCTTAAACTGAGAGGAAATGGATGTCCCTTCTTTGATTCAAGTTTCTCTTAGGGACCAGCAGGATGATTCCTGGAAAATGCTGTTTTTGTATTCTTTCATTGGAGAGCCAAGGTTTAGAGAAGGCACTGTGTCTTTTACACTCTTGTGTAGCAACACCATTAGCAGTGGTAGTGGTAATGGGGCCCTTCCCGTGCCCCAGGAACACTGCTGAACTCTCTGCAGGGTTCTATCGTTTAGTCGTCACAGCAGTTGTATAGATAGGCCTGTTATGAGCGTACATCAGTGGACATTTCATGGAGGCAGAGACATAAAACTTGCCCACCTTCACCTAGCTGGAAAGCACTTAAGTGACTCTGAAACTGCGCCTAGCCCCTCTGACAGAGGAAGGCTCCTCTCTTGATGCAGCTGAAGTGAATCAGTTCCTGTGCTGTGCTGTGTGCATCAGTTTGATTGCTATCATGAAAGCTACTCACAAGAAAGAAGTTGGGCCGGCGCCACGGCTCAATAGGCATATCCTCTGCCTGTGGCGCCAGCACCCCGGGTTCTAGTTTCAGTCGGGGCACCAGATTCTGTCCTGGTTGCCCCTCTTCCAGGCCAGCTCTCTGCTGTGGCCCAGGAGTGCAGTGGAGGATGGCCCAAGTGCTTGGGCCCTGCACCCACATGGGAGACCAGGAGAAGCACCTGGCTCCTGCCATCGGATCAGCGCGGTGCGCCAGCCGCAGCAGCCATTGCGGGGTGAACCAACAGAAAAAAAGGAAGACTTTTATCTGCTTTCTCTCTGTCTCTCTCTCACTGTCCACTCTGCCTGTCAAAAAGAAAAAAAAGAAAGAAGTTGAATACCTTTCTTTTCCATTTTTCACATTCTATCTTATAAAATATTTAAGGATATTTATATTCTTTGAAAAATTTTAAAGATTGTTTCTTGTTTATTTGAAAGGCAGGGAGAGCGAGCACTCCCATACAGTAGTTTACTGAAGTGGCTGTAACTAGGCCTGAGCTGGGGCCAGAGCCAGGAGCCAAGAAAGCAATCCCAGTTTTCCACATGAGTGCATGGGTGGCAGGAACCACTGCCTCCCGGAGTCTGCATTGGCAGGAAGCTGCAGTCAGGAGCCAGAGCCAGGAGTTGGAACCAGGCATCTTAACTGCTCAGCTAAACATCTGCTTCCATTGGAATTTGTATTTTTATGTGTCATAACTGAGATATTTTTTCATTTAGTCACCCCTTTTTTAGTTATTCATTGACAACTTCCTAGATGCAAGGCCTTATTTCTAGGTTTTTATCTTTTGTTGTTAAATTTGTGTATAGATGGTTATACTTCCACTTTCAGCATTTAGAAGAGACAGTCAAAGAGATGGCAACACCACTTCCTTTTATTAGCAACCTATGTGTTTGTTTTTCCCACATCATCTGTTTTTCTGTGTCCATGAAGTGATTGGCCTTTTCTGTATAGGTGTGTTTCACGTTGAAGAGAATGCAGCATTCAAACTAGAACTTCACGACTATTAGGAAATGATTAATTATTAAAGTATTTTTTTTTCCTCCAGGCTGGTGTTTTTGCATTTTGGGTTAAATTGCCACCTGGTATTCCATATCAGAGTGCCGATTTGTGTTATGGTTGCTGTTCTTCTGATTCAGCTCCATGCTGGTGTGCCTGGGAAGGCAATGGAGGATAGTCCAAGTGCTTGGGCCCCTGACACCCATGTGGGAGAGCAGGATGGAGTTCTTGGCGTCTAGCTTTGGCCTGGCCAAGCCCTGGCTTTTCCAGCCACTTGGGGAATAAACCAATGGATGGAAGATCGATCTCCCCCTCTTTGTTTCTCTCCCTCTTTGTCACTCTTCCTTTCAAATAAATAAATCTGTTAAAACAGGACCAAAAAAAGTTGGTTTTTTTGATGTATAAAATCTTGTTCACATAAGTTACCGAACGAGAGGGCATCTAGATAAATCTGTGGGGAAAATGAAAAATTTTGAGTTTGTTATTCTGGTAGTATTCGGTTGACTGTGTTTAGCTTTTTTCCATGGAAGTGTTTTTAGCTTTTTTCCATGGAAATGTTTCTAGCTCTCTCAAGATAGTAATTGATTTCTACTGAATATGGAAATTACATATGGTAGGATTACTTTAATCACCAATTTTAATGTAACATGTTTGTACAGTTTAAGTGATTCCGCTTGGTTTTCTCACAGCAGAGCACTAGTAGATTTTGGAAGTCTAGTGTCTGACTGCTGAAGCTGTCTTCTTTAATTTTCTGTTTTGTTTCCAGCTCAGAGGAGCGGCGTTTTCTCATCAGCTGTAGAGAATGTACAGCAGTGCCAGGTAAAGCTGTGTTTAGTAACCGGTGTTTTTATGAGGATGCCCCTACTGATTATTTTGTAGACTATCAGACAGAAAAGAAAAACTGCTGAAGCGTTAAGAACAGTGGCTTCTCCTTTACTTTTAAGACACTTTGGAATAATTACATGAGAATCAGAGCATGCTGGGCCATTGCTTTGATAAACAGTTGAGTAAATGTAGAGTATCTTGGCATGCTAATATATTGGTAACCATTTCCGTTTTCCTCCTCCTCCTGGAGCCCGTGGTTTATCAACCGTGTTGCATTTCCTTGGCCTAAGCACAGTCTGAGAGTCCAGCGTGTCAGACCATCTCTCCATACTTTGCATGAGTTGTGGTGAGTGACAGGAAATGGTTCCAGTTTTAGTCTTAGCAGCCGGCAATGACCTTCCCATACAGACCAGTTTAGGAGCATATTTATCTTCTTGTTTTTAAACCCTTCACATACCCAGAGTTCTTCCAGGAATCAGGAGAAGGAATTATCTTCATTCTAACTTCAGCCTTCTAACCAGTGGGAGAGGAGCCTGGTTCTAAAGAATTCTTGTGGTGGGCCCTTGTAATGGAATCTTGATCTGATCCTTTTAAGAGCCTATTAAAATTAAATAGATTAAAATTGTTATTATATCCAGTAAGGTTAAAGTACAGTGCTGTCAGGTTGGATATATCCCACTAATCTTGTGGTTAGATAAAATTATAAAATTGAATGAAGACTTATCAATAATCCACATTGATTTGAATTTAGAAGTACAGATGAAAATTAAAGCCAACTATATATCTTGTCTCCATAGGAGCCAAAATTCAATTCTGAAAGTCACAGTTGTTTGGTTTGTATTGAAAATTCCAACAAACAGAAACCAGAATGTCTAAAATTTGATAAAGGAAGCAAAGAGGGCTTATTTATGAATGAAGACGATATGTGTGAACATTACCACAAAGATTCCACAGACACAATATTTGGTAAAGCCAAGCATGAACAATCAACTCTTAACCAAATACACTCTACAGGACTCAGAAGTAACAGTCTTCATAATGGCAAAGATTCTAGCACAGAAGTATCTAAAGGCAAAGGAATAAAAAGCAGTCAACACAAAATGACTCAAGTAGATGATGGGGATTTCGGTCCAAGAAAGGCCCTTGCTGTGTCTTGTTCCAAGAGAGTGAAAAGATTGAATACACCCCAGCAACATGGGCTGCACAACTCTGACCCTGATGGCCCTGATGGCCTTCCAGGAGAGCCACAAGAACCTTCCAGTCCAGCTCAGTCAGGTCTGAAAGATGGAGCAGGTGACAATATGGAGGCTGGCTCATTTTCCAAAGAGACATATATCCAGAACCTGGATTTATCAAAGAGTCAAGAATCACAGTTCTTGGAATTAAAATCCAGTGACCAAACTAAAGGTGTTTCATTCTCAGGAATTGCATTAAATAAAGAAACAGAGTTACCACTTGTTACTACAGATTCACAGCCGCCTACTGGCCAAGAACAACTCAGAAGCCCTTCCAAATTTCATGAAAACAGTAACTCAAGTCAAAAAGATGAGAGCCTTAATAAGTGGGAAAGTTCCTTCTTATCCTTTGTAAAGAGAACTCTTGATGATGGTGGTGGTGATGATGGTGGTGGTGTTTATACCTCTGAGAAGGCTGTAACGGCTAAAATGGTGATATGTTCTACAGATTACAATAATCAGTATAAGGAGACTAGAACCAATAGAGAAGAGATGGATTTTCAACCGTTTTTACCTTCTGCAGACCATTTTCCACAGGGAAATGAATTAAATGCAGACAGTCTAACCACACTTCCACAACAGGAAGCTGTTATTTTTTGTGATTCAGATAAGATGGTCATTTCTGAACAACATGTTGCAAATTATGGATCTTCTTTTGATCACTCACATGGCAATTCTGAGCAAATATCCCTGACTTGTGTGAGAACAGAGGAAGCTTCACAGTTGACTATTCCTGTGGAGCCATCCAGAGAGCCTCAGAACTGTAGCCCAAGGGCACCAGACCCTTTAATGTGTCAAACAGTTACATGTGTTGTGGAAAACAAACACGATGCCGAAAGAAACTGCACTGAGGGTGGCCAGAATGCGAATTCTTCAAGTGGGCCTTTATCAGCAGTCATTTCTTCTCAAATGATACAAGCAACTGAAGTTGAAAAAATGGGATCAGGACTTCTAGAAAGTGAGACCATACATAGTACAGATTTTCATTCAAATGACAGTGTGAATAAAGAATTGAACTGTGTCCAACAACTTAGCCAAAGAGAAGAAAAGGAAAGTTTTCACAAGCCAGGTATTAATAGCATTGCTTAATTTTTACACATTTCCTTAGATTTACTTATTTTATAGAAATTTCTGAGTTCCACCCATCCTGTAACTGAACTTACACCAGTGAGGACATGAGGGCCATGATGTGGTGTGGTAGTATCATTTTTAAACAAGATTTATTTATTTATTTGAAAAGTGGAATTACAGAGAAAGAGGGAGACACATGTGCACGTGCACATACACACACACACAGACAGAGGGAGGGAGGAAGAGAGAGAGAGGGTGCTTCCATCCATTGACTGACTCCCCAAATGGCTGCAACAGCTGGGGTTGGGCCAGGCTGTAACAAGGAACCTGGAGCTTCTTCTGGATCTCCTGTGTGGGTAGAAGGGCCCAAGCACTTGGGTCATCTTCTGCTGCTTTCCCAAGTGCATCAGTAGGAAGCTGGGTCAGAAGTAGAACCAACCTGGGTCAGAAGTAGAGCCAAGACTCCAGCCAGCACCCATATAGGATGCCAGCCTCATAGGCATGGTATAGCCCACTATGTCACAATGGCATCCCCTGTAGTATTGTTTATTTTGAAAGTCAAACCATTATGATCAAATATGGTTGCTGAACTGATATTGTCAGAAGTTAATAAATAGTATTTCCATCAATTTTTATGTTTCTTTTAATATAACATTTATTAGTACTAGAAACTCTAACATTTTCCTGATAGGAAATTATTAACTGTATCGATTTCAGCTATTTGCTGTATTCCCATCAGAATTGAAATCAGCAAATTTTGTATATGTCAATATAGAAACATTTTTAAAGGCTTCAATTCCCTTATGCAATCTATCTTGGAATACAAACCCATGTGTAAATTTTCTCTTCAAGTCATTTAATTAGCAAGGAGAATGATAGTGCTGATATTGTAAAATGTTTGTGTTTAAGGTAGGGAATTAACTAATATCAGTGGAGACGAAGGTGCTGTAAGGAACTCTGAGAAGAAAAGAGAAAAAGCCAGTTCAGAAATGCACATGCCTACTGATTGCCAAGAGCACAACAAAGTTTGGAATTTCAGAAAAACACCAAGATTTTTGAATTCTACCTCCAACCAAGGTTTGTATTTGCATGATTGTGTAGGTGAAACTTTACTAAATCATGCCCAGCAATCCACTCTGCTTCTGAGAATTTCTAAACTTTCTGATATATATACTGTGTGTGTTTTTAAAATTCATTTATTTATCAGAAAGAGCTACACACACACACACACACACAGAGAGAGAGAGAGAGAGAGAGAGAGAGAGAGAGAGAGAGATATCCATCTTCCATCCACCAGTTTACTCCCCAGATAGCCACTATATCCAGTTCTGAGCTAGGCTGAAGCAAGGAGCCAGGAGTTTTATCTGGATACCCCATATAGGTGCAAGGACCAAAAACAAACACTTGGGCCATCTTCTGCTGTTTTCCCAGGCCATTAGCAGGGAGCTGGATCAGAAGTGGAGCAGTTGTGACATGACACGGCATCCATTAGCTGCTGGGCCACAATGTCAGCCCCTATTTTTTAGTCATTCCCTGAGTAATAAGATTGTTTCAGCTATATATTTTATTATGGTACCACCAGAGAGTCCATTAGTCTTTAGTTGTGTTCTTCCCATCTTTCTGACTGTGAAAATATCTAGTTTGATATGTGAGAGGAGGAAAGATAAAAAGCAAGGATGCTCAGTGAGGATGGAAGGGGAAGCTGTGTCAGACCCTTTGACACCCCCACTCAGTCCTTTTAAAATAAGGGAAATTTCCAAAGAAGCATAGCCATGGGTTTCTTAGTGTCAGATGAATGAGCTGTGTGTGTGGCAATATGAATAGGCTAACCACCCTTTGATAGTTCTGAGTTAGTTCTAGACTAGGCTGGACCATTTCAGGTTCAGCATTAAGCACTTAAAAGTTGGTTTATACCTACTGTTACTAAGAGGTAGGAAGGTATTCGCTATGACCTTCCCTCGGGGTCCCCCTCTCATGGAAACTGAAGCCCTTCTTATACATCCTGGAGTAGGTTGAATGGTGGCTTGCAAAGCAGATCCATACCCAAATTCCTGACTTGCAAATATTACCTTATGTGTTAAAGTGAATATTACCTTTCTCAGAAAAAGACTCTGTGTATGTAATCAAGTTGAAGACTTTGAGATGAGGAGGTCATCCTGGATTAACCCTAATGATGAGTGTCCTTTTAAGATAAAGAAAAGGGGGTTTGAGACACACAGGAGAAGGGAAGCTGATATGACTATGGAGGCAAAGGAATAGGGTAAGCCAAGCCAGGGAGGGCAAGGAATGCTGACAGCCATCTGCAGCTTTTAGAAGCAGGGAAGGGGCCGGCGCCGTGGCTCAATAGGCTAATCCTCTACCTAGCGGCGCCGGCACACCGGGTTCTAGTCCTGGTCGGGGTGCCGGATTCTGTCCTGGTTGCCCCTCTTCCTGGCCAGCTCTCTGCTGTGGCCCGGGAGTGCAGGGAGGATGGCCCAAGTGCTTGGGCCCTGCACCCCATGGGAGACCAGGAGAAGCACCTGGCTCCTGACTTTGGATCAGCGCAGTGCGCCGGCCGTGGCGGCCATTGGAGGGTGAACCAATGGCAAAAGGAAGACCTTTCTCTCTGTCTCTCTCTCTCACTGTCCACTCTGCCTGTCAAAAAAAATTTTTTTTCTATTTTAGATTATACACAGAAGACCAACTCTATACTAAGTAGAGAGTTCAGCAATATGCATGGGGAAAAACAAAACAAACCCATTCCTCAACAATTGAGACAAGGGCCATTCAAAGTCATTGCATCCTTAAGTCAATCTCACTTCTTTTTTTAGAAACTTAATTAACTTTAAAGAAGCACCCTAGAATGATACATCTTTTGCGAGCATTGAGACATGATTATAATATAACTCTTTGAGGACAGAGGTCCTGCATGTGAAGTTAGTACACAGTGATTCTTGTTAATTTAACAATTAATACTCTTATGTATGACATCAGTGACCACCCGAGGCTCTTGAGATGAGCTGCCTAGGCTATGGAAGCCTTTTGAATCCACAAATTCCGTCAGTATTTAGACAAGGCCATAAGCAAATTGGAAGTTCTCTCCTCCTTTCAGAGAAAAGTACCTCCTTCTTTGATGACCACTTCTTTCCACTGTGATCTCACCCATTGAGGTCCTTCATGTAGGACATTTTTTGCCACAGTGTCTTGGCTTCCCATGCCTGGAATGTTCTCGTGGGCTTTTCAGCCAGACCAGAGTGCCTTAAGGGCTGATTCTGAGGACAGAGTGCTATTTAAAGCGATTGTCATTCTATGAGTCTGCTGTGTGGACTGCTTCTCATGTTGGAGCAATCCCTCCTGTTTAATTCTATTCATTATTATTACCAGACCCTTAATCCTATCCACATGATCACTTTAACATTTACGATGGTTTTTTTACCATACAGCTTAAGGGGATTTGGGGTCCCATGGCAAGTTTTTAAACTGTACTCTTAGAAGTAAGTCCATAGGAATATATGCAGAACTATACAGCTTTATAGTTACAAACATCATATACTGCATAATTACAACATTAGGAACATGTTGATTCTCCCCACCATGCTTACCCTCCCACCCATACTCCAAAACCCTCTTCCTCCTCTTTCTCTTATTCCACTCTTTTTTTTTTTTACTGAGATCTATTTTCAGTTGGCTTTATACACATATGTTTAACTCTATGTTAAGAGTTCAACAAATAGTATATAAAAAAAAACTGTTCCTCAACAGTCAAGAAGAGGGCTGTTCAAGTCATTTCTTCTCAAAGTGTCAATTTCACTTCTACAGATGCCTTTTAGGTGCTCTATTAGTTATCACAGGTCAGAGAGAATATGTGGTATTTGTCCCTTTGGGACTGGCTTATTTCAATAAGTATGATGCTTTCCAACTTCTCCATTTTGTTGTAAATGAGCAAATTTTATTTATTTTTACCACTGTGTAGTATTCCATAGTGTACATATCCCATAATTTCTTTATCCAGTCTTCAGTTGATAGGCATTTGGGTTGTTTCTATGTCAGCTGTTGTGAACTGAACTACAATAAACATGGGGGTGTAGGCTGGTGCCATGGCTCACTTGGCTAATCCTCTGTCTGCAGCGCTGGCACCCTGGGTTCTAGTCCCGGTTGGGGCACCGGGTACTAGTCCTGGTTGTGCCTCTTCCAGACCAGCTCTCTGCTGTGGCCCGGGAGGGCAGCAGAGGATGGCCTAAGTGCTTGGGTTCCTGCACCCGCATGGGAGACCAGGATGAGGCACCTGGTTTTGGATCAGTGTAGCGCTGGCCGTAGCGGCCATTAGGGGAGTGAACCAATGTAAGGAAGACCTTTCTCTCTGTCTCTCTCTCACTGTCTATAACTTTACCTGTCAAATAATAAAAAATAAACATGGGGGTGCAGATAACTCTTTCATATGCCGATTTCATTTCCCTTGGGTCAATTCCTAGGAGTGGGATGGCTGGGTCGTGTGGTAGGGCTATATTCAGATTTCTGAGGTATCTCCATACCATCTTCCATAGTGGCTTTACCGGTTTACATTCCTACCAGCAGTGGATTAGGGTACATTTTCCTCGACATCCTCACCAGCATTTGTTGTTTGTTGATTTCTGTATGTGAGCCATTCTAACTGGGGTGTGGTGAAACCTCATTATGGTTTTGATTTGCATTTTCCTGATGGCTAGTGATCCTGAACATTTATTCATGTGTCTGTTGGCCATTTGGATTTCCTTTTTGAAAAATGAGCAGCTTTATTGCCAGTGGCTTGGGCTGCTGCAGTCTGGTTTCACCTTTCTCCAAAGCTGATCTGGAGTCTTGGCTGCTGGGGTCTTGATTTGTGTGTGTCCACACCCTCCATGTAGGTCCGTGGTGTCTCTCTAATTTGTGCGTGGAGTTTCCTCTGCTGCTTTCTCCCTAACTCTTTCCTGAGATTTCACTGTATCTGCTTCTTTTAAACTATCTTCTCCTCGATGAGAGCAGTAAGCTCCCTCCCTACTCCGCCATCTCAAAATGTATTTATTATTTTTATTTTATTGAGAAAGAGATGGGGAGAGAGAGAGCTAGCGAGTGAGAGATATTCCGTATGTTGGTTCACTCCTCAAATGGCATGCAACAACTGCGTCAGGGCCAGACTGAAGTCAGGAGACTGGATCTCAGTCCGGCTCTCCCACATGGGTAAGAGGGACTCAAGTACTTGAGACATCACCTACTGGCTCCCAGAGTGCACACTGGCAGCAAACCGGACTGGAACCCATGCACTCCAGTATGGAATGCAAGCATCCCAAGGGGTGTCTTAACCATTGCATCAAATACCGGCCCCAAATTTTTGTTGTGTGAGCCACATAGTTTGTGATAATTTGCTACAGCAACCACAGGAAACAGGCAGACTCCTCACTAGCACTGCCCATCCATCATCTCACTAGACTGTAAGCCACTTGAGCAGAGCTGCACTGCCCCAGAGCTTGTAATTTCAGATATCAGAATACACAAAGGCCAGCTTCCTCCCGATCACACAATAGTGATTTCAACCTGGCCCTGAGCTCTGCTGCACCCTCTCACCCTCCACAGCCTTGCCATCAGTATCTTAGTTTGTCTCATTTCAATACAAATAGGCTAAGGCACAAAGCCAGCATTCCATATCAGAGTACTGGGTCAAATCCTGGCTAGTCTGATTTGGCTCCGACTTCATACTGGCAAAGGCAGTGGAAGACGGCTCAAGTACCTGGGGCCCTGCAACCCATGTGGGAAATGCAGATGGAGTTCTTGGCTCCTGACTTTGGTCTGGCATAGACCTAGCTGTTGTGGCTTTTTGGGAAGTGAACCAGTGGGTAGAAGCTTGCTCGCTCACTCTTCCCCCAACTCTTTTCAAATAAATAATTTAAAAAAACGGAAAAGATAAGTTTATTTGGGTACAAAAAATGAAATCTGTGCGTAATTTTTCATATACATTTTTCATATACTTCTGGAAAACTCAGATGCATGAATTTCAGGTTTTTTGCACAAAAATAAACTTATCTTTAATTCCATTTTCCATGAAATTTTTGAAGTACCTCTGTGTGTGTATGTATTCACTTTTTTGAATAAACAATTTCTGAGTGCCGATCTTTAAAGAACAATATGTCTTTATGTGTATATCAGCAGATTATAGATATGAGGCTATCAGTCTTCCTTGTGATTCATATAACCTGAGTCCATTTTTTAGAAAAAAAAATCCTCTATTTATTTCTTGCCCTGAAAGTTGAAGCATAGTTGCTGGTATTTAGGAAATAAGGCCTAAAGGATTCCATGGTTTAGTGCAGTGGTTCTCATCAGAATCCCCTGGAGTTCAATTTCATTGGTGTATTGGTCGTCTCCATTGCTGTACCCCAAATTGGCACAGCAGCTCTGGTGATCTGTTAGTTTCTGGAGGTCAAACCCTCTGATAGGATAGAGATCTCATATGAAGGCTGGACTAGGCAAGAATCCACCACATTGGATTGTTGGGTGAATTCAGTTCCCTCAGGAAAGCACAGGTCCCAGCTGGCTATGGCCCAGAGTCATTCTGTTTGCTGCTTGCAGGACAGCAAGTGACCTAATCAAGGTCGTGGAAGGCTGCAGTGTGAAGGCATTTTCTTGGTTAGAAGCAAGTGATTGAAAAGGAGGGATGTGAGAACACTGTAATACTAGAGTGTGAGGGCCATCAGCTGCCATTTTGGAATCTACCCTGTAGAGCAGGGTTAGGATGGGCTGGTGAATCTTCATGTTAGACAGGTTTCTCAGGTGAAGCTGGGACTGCAGATGGAGTGAGCTTGTTTTTCTCTTTGCCTGGCACTCCTGTCCTGCAGCTCCCATTGAGAATAACCTTAGGTTCCTGGCTTTGGGATGGGGGCCTGGGAATAGAGAAGTGGTTGCCAGACAGGTCAGGACTGGGGAAGAACCGTGAGGCACCCGATGCTGTGTGTTGGGGTTGAGTTCTTCCTCTTTAACCCCCTTTGCCAGCCCTCGATTTGAAGCTTGGCACACCCTGCCAAGTCTTCTCCGTCAGCCACTTTTCAGTTTTCTCAGATTTGTGGAAGTCTTTCTCTTCTGTTGTCTCTCCTACTTTCTTTATGTGGTTCTTTCAAAACGGCTTTTCTTATCACTTTTGCATGGTTTTGCAGGAAATGGGAGACACAAGGGATCCATCATTACTTTCAGCTCCATCTTGAGTGTCTCTAGCTTGCACTGCAAGGAGAAAGTTTTAAATCTTTGCACAGAGATACCATACTGCATTTTTTATGAAGAAAAAGAAAAAGGAGAGCCCAACAGGTCATAGATTGGTATTTTTGCATCTTGTGTCATAGAACACATCCACTGAGATACAGAATAGCTGTAAAAACAAGACTTTTATATTAAACTTGGGTTGTTTTCAGAAAAACCTTATCCGTTGCTAAAGGACTACTGAGAGTGAGATGCGTGTGGAGCGAGGCAAGTTTGTGGTGTTTTAACCAAGTGTTTGACCAGCTGCTAGAATGAATGCAAAGTGATGTGCTCAAGACGTGCAGTAATCTCTTCACAGATCACACTGCAGAGTGGTAACAGCAGTGCTGACACCAGTAATCTCTTCACAGATCATCACACTGCAGAGCAGTAACAGCAGTGCTGACACCAGTAATCTCTTCACAGATCACACTGCAGAGCGGTAACAGCAGTGCTGACACCAGTAATCTCTTCACAGATCACACTGCAGAGCAGTAACAGCAGTGCTGACATCAGTAATCTCTTCACAGATCGCACTGCAGAGCGGTAACAGCAGTGCTGACATCAGTAATCTCTTCACAGATCACACTGCAGAGCGGTAACAGCAGTGCTGACATCAGTAATCTCTTCACAGATAGCACTGCAGAGCGGTAACAGCAGTGCTAACATCAGTAATCTCTTTACAGATCACAGTGCAGAGCGGTAACAGCAGTGCTGACACCAGTAATCTCTTCACAGATCACACTGCAGAGCGGTAACAGCAGTGCTGACACCAGTAATCTCTTCACAGATCACACTGCAGAGCGGTAACAGCAGTGCTGACACCAGTAATCTCTTCACAGATCACACTGCAGAGCGGTAACAGCAGTGCTGACACCAGTAATCTCTTCACAGATCACACTGCAGAGCGGTAACAGCAGTGCTAACATCAGTAATCTCTTCACGGATTGCACTGCAGAGCGGTAACAGCAGTGCTGACACCAGTAATCTCTTCACAGATCGCACTGCAGAGCGGTAACAGCAGTGCTGATACCAGTTGGCGCATGTTTCTGTTTAGTGCTCTCTGCTTACGGTATTTTGAGGAAGTTGTTATGTATTTTCTAAAATTCTTTATAACAGCATTTGGCAGAAAAGACGCCTCAGTTTTGCTCGGCAAATCTACAGAAAAGAAAACAGCTGGGATCAATAAGCGGAATGCCAGAGGGGAGAGTCGGCTCCATTTGGCTGCCAGAAGAGGAAATTTGTCTCTGGTAAAAACTCTGATAGACTCTGGAGCAAATGTGAACCTAAAAGATCATGCAGGTCCGAGTCCTTTCAATTCCATTATTTTCACAATTTAACTCCCTGGTATATGCATTTTAGTCCCCTGAACCCCCACCCCCACCCCCATTTTAGTCCCCTGAACCCCCACCCCCACACCCATTTTAGTCCCCTGAACCCCCATCCCCACACCCATTTTTGATCCTGACTGATCTATACCTGGGAACCAAGTAATCTTTTATACCATGTTATTGTTTAGTTGAATAGTAAGACAGTGTTTCTAAAATCTTTCTCCTTTGGAACAGTTTTTCACATCCATTTGGAAACATTCAGTGTGGTCAACAGAGTGGGGAGTAATTAGTAATTCCTTGGAAGTCTTGATTCCGTTCCTTGTTCCTCGACTTTGGAGAGAATACATGATACTCCCATTTCCTGTACTTTCTACTCTTTCCTCCTCCCTTTGAATTGTTCCTTTTATCTCCCTTATTTTTTCAAAACTTTCAAAATTGATCTTCTAACATTTTGCTTACACACAAAGATCTTCCCTGAAGAATTCAGGAGCAAAACTCAAAGGTTGATTTGGTCAGGTGTCATTTTTAAATGAAGTGTGACAGTGCAAAGATACAAATTAATTAGATATTTTATTTTTTATTTTATTAATTTTTTAAAAGATTTATTTTATTTATTTGAAAGACAGTTACAGAGAGGTAGAGACAGAGAGAGAGGTCTTCCATTTGCTGGTTCACTCCCCAATGGCTGCAACAGCTGGAGCTGTGCCAATCTGAAGCCAGGAGCCAGGAGCTTCTTCTGGGTCTCCTGTGCAGGTGCAGGGGCTCAAGCACTTGGACCATCTTCTACTGCTTTCCCAGGCCACAGCAGAGAGCTGGATCAGCAGAGGAGCAGCCAGGACTAGAACCAGTGCCCATATGGGATGCTGGCACTTCAGTGGCACTTCAGGCCAGGGCTTGTGCCACAGCACCGGGCCCCATGAGTCAGATATTTTAATATTGAGTTAAAGCAAATTGAAATGATTAGCATTTCATTGTATCCCATTGCATTTTCTGTTCTGTAATCCTTCTGTTTGGTCTTTTTTTTTTTTTTTTTTGGCAGGCAGAGTTGACAGTGAGAGAGAGACAGAGAGAAAGGAGAGAAAGGTCTTTCTTTTTTTCCGTTGGTTCACCCCACAATGGCCGCTGCGGCTGGTGCACTGTGCTGATCTGAAGCTAGGAGCCAGGTGCTTCTCCTGGTCTCCCATGCGGGTGCAGGGGCCCAAGCACTTAGGCCATCCTCCATTGCACTCCCAGGCCACAGCAGAGAGCTGGACTGGAAGAGGAGCAACCAGGACAGAATCCGGCGCCCTGATCGGGACTAGAACCCGGTGTGCCGGCGCTGTGGTTCAACAGACTAATCCTCCACCTGTGGCGACGGCACACCGGATTCTAGTCCCCGCAGGCAGAGGATTAGCCTATTGAGCCGTGGCGCCGGCTCTGTTGGTCTCTTTTATCAGTATAACTTGTGATGAGGTCGATCATTTATACATTTTAAGGCCATAGTTTTCAGTGTTGTCTCTTGTCCAATATTTAGTATACATATGAATCAATGTAGACGTTAATTGCACTAACATAGGAAACGCTGAGTAGTAAGGATGCTACACAGATATGGATAGATAAGGAGCAGCTTGTTTATTTCTTTCATTCCTTCTCTAGGTTGGACACCACTTCATGAGGCATCTCAAAAAGGCTGCAGTGATGTAATTGTAGAGTTACTAAATGCTGGTGCTAATGTCAATTCTGGAAATCTGGATGGAATTCTGCCCTTACATGATGCTGTGACAAACAGTCACTTACAGGTACAGTGCTTGTCAGGTTAGGGTCCCACCCATGTGGGATGCCGGCATTGCAGGTGGCAGCATAACCATTATGCCACAGCCCCTTTATTTGGTTTCATGAAAGTATATTCCTGCTGTTTTCTGCCTAAATGTGGTGACATGAAGGGATAATTTCACTGAACTTATGACTTGGAGATCAGAGATGTGAAGCAGTGATTAGAAGCACCCTAGGGTGGTGGCAGGCATTTGACCTGTTGGTTCAGATGCTGGTCAGGACATCCGCCTCCCACATCAGAGTGCCCGACAGCTCCCTGTTCCAGCTTCCTCCCATTGCAGACCCTGGGAAGCAGCAGGTGATGGCTCAAGTAATGGAGTTCGTATCGCCAACATGGGAGGCCTGAGTTGAGTTTCCAGTTCTCAGCTTCAGCCTGGCCCAGTCCTGGCCATTATGTGCATTTGGGGAATGAATCCGTGGCTGGGATCTCTCTCAAATAATTTCAAAAAGTCTTCTTCCTTTAAAAAACATTAATCCCAGGATACATGGGCTAATATCTGGTGTGTCTTTTTTTGAATGAAAAGAAACTCTTTGGCCTTTAAGATATTTAAACAAAAAAAAAAGACAGATTTTTAAGGTTTTATGATCCTGAAGTGGAAGAAAGCAAACAGAAATAATAATTAGTTATGACAGTTGGCTATCTGTATAGAGACAATAAATATCAAATTTTAATAGTGGGAAACTCAGATTTTTGGACATTATCCTGGAAACTGTCACATAAAACACACAAAACATTAGTTCTCTCGTTTGTATGTGTGGTGGGGATCACCAGAGTTACCCCCAGACTTGGAGATTTGTCAGATCGTGGTGGCTTGGGTTCGTGACAGCAGTGCAGTAAGGATGCACATCTGGATCACAACGGAGGAAGGCAGGTAGGATCTGGAAGTATCTGTGTGAATGGAAGCTTTCTTATGCTCTCTGCCTCCTCTCCCCCAGCAGTGAAGATGTAGGAACACTTGTGACGTTTCTGCCAGGGAGGCCTAGTAGTAACTCAGTGCCCAAGGTTTTTAATGTATGCACTTTCTGCCTAGCATAGACCAAATTTCAGACACCCAGGGCATAAACCACATGTTGTGAAGATAGTTTAAGCATAATGAGCTCCCCTTAGCAGGCGAAGTGTTTGCAATTAGGGTAGAGTGCTATTTGCCGGCCAGTGTCACTGATGCCACCCAAGGCCAACTTTGCAAGTAAGCTCTCTGAGCAGCAGTCTCAGGCCTGCGAGGTGGACACTTTTCTAACAGGTGGTCCCTGGCTCCTTAAGGCTCCACTTACAGTTTGCTGACTTTACAATAATGCAAAAGCAGTTTTCATTCAGTGGAAGCTGTACTTCAGATGTTGAGTTTTGATCTTTTCCCAGGTTAGCTGCTTGCTGGTACAGTATTCCCACCATGCTGGGCAGTGGCAGTCAGCCACAGCTTTCAGTCATCCATGGGATGGATCATGAAAGTAAACAGCCAGTACTCTACAGTGCACTGTGTCGCAGGGCTGTGATCATGGGGGTAAACAGTTGGTACTCTACAGTGCACTGTGTCGCAGGGCTGTGATCATGGGGGTAAACAGCTGGTACTCTACAGTGCACTGTGTCGCAGGGCTGTGATCATGGGGATAAACAGCTGGTACTCTACAGTGCACTGTGTCGCAGGGCTGTGATCATGGGCGTAAACAGCTGGTACTCTACAGAGCACTGTGTCGCAGGACTGTGATCATGGGGGTAAACAGCTGGTACTCTACAGTGCACCGTGTTGCAATACTGTGATCATGGAGGTAAACAGTTGGTACTCTACAGTGCACTGTGTTTCAATGCTGTGATCGTGAGGGTAAACAGCCAGTACTCTACAGTGCACTATGTTGCTAGGCTATGAGGTTCACCTGGTTGAGTGTATTAAATGCATTTTTCTTACAGTATTTTCTATTTATGATGGGTTTGTCACGTTGTTACCTCATTGTAAATTGAATAGCCTCTTAGTTTTTAATTGAAATATATGCTAATTTCTAAAACTGCAAAAGATTTATTAAACTGTGTTTTTTTGGCTCACTTTTTTCTGGCAAGGTCATATGGTAGCACATAGGACATTATTTTACATCACAATATCAGTTGGATCAGGTTTTGTAGTTTATAAGTAACTCATTTTAAATATAAAGAATATAAAGACATAACTTTTAAGTCAAATTATGGAAAAATACATGTTACACTATCATGAAAAAAAGTAACATAAAACAAGTGATTTCAAAGGAAGTAATATTACTGGGAAATTTAAAATTTGAAATACTTATGTTAGAAAAAAGAAATATTCAATAACAAACAGAAAAAAAAACAGAAAAAGAAAATTAGCAAAATAAAACAGAAATCAGTGAAGTATGAAGCAGACAGTAGAGAAAATTGACAAAAATGAATCTTTGAAAATACTAATAAAATTCTTAAGCCTCTAGCCATGTCTTAAGCCAAACAGAAGACACAGATTATTAATATTAGAAATCAGTGGACATAGCCAGCGCTGCGGCTCAGTAGGCTAATCCTCTGCCTGCGGCACCAGCACCCCGGGTTCTAGTCCCGATCAGGGCGCCAGATTCTGTCCTGGTCGCTCCTCTTCCAGTCCAGCTCTCTGCTGTGGCCCGGGAAAGCAGTGGAGGATGGCCCAAGTGCTTGGGCCCTGCACTCGCATGGGAGACCAGGAGAAGTACCAGGCTCCTGGCTTTGGATCAGAGCGGTGCGCCGGCCGCAGCGGCCATTGAGGGGTGAACCAACAGAAGGAAGACCTTTCTCTCTCTCTCTCTCTCACTGTCCACTCTGCCTGTCAAAAAAAAAAAAAAAATCAGTGGACATCACCATGTATCATGCAGCTCTTCCAGGGTTAATATAGTACAATTGTTTTTAAGCTATGCCTATAAATTGAATGACTTAAATAAAGTGGGCACTTTTTTTTTTTTTTTTTTTTTTTGTAAGAAGCTGTTAAGGCTTACTCACAAAGAAGAAACACAAGCCTTTATCTTTGAAGGAAAATGGGTTTATCATTTAAAAATTTTTTCACTAAAGAAATTGTGGGCTCAGGTTTCTTCATTGAAAATGTTTGCCAAGTATTTGAGGAATAAATAAAGCCAGCTCTACACAAACTACAAGAAAAGTATAAAGAATACACTCCCATAATAATTTTTTGAGGCTGGCATTATTTTGATACCAAAAGGAATTACAAAAAAGCAGAACTACAGATTAGTATTTTTGAAGCACACATAGACAACAATTGGTAAAATGTTAATGTCAGTCCAGCAATATATATATATATGTGTAACATGGCCACATGCAGTGTATCTCAGGAATGTAAGATTAGTTCAATATTATAAAAGCAATGTAATTTTCCAAAGTAACAAACTAAAAATGAAAACCTGTTATTCCAGTACATGCAGAAAAAACAGTTGTAAAAAAGTTAGCATTTGGGGCTGGCACCATGGCTCACTTGGTTAATCCTCCGCCCATGGCGCTGGGATCCCACATGGGTGCCGGGTTCTAGTCCTGGTTGCTCCTCTTCTGGTCCAGCTTTCTGCTGTGGCCTGGGAGGGCAGTGGAGGATGGCCCAAGTGCTGGGGCCCTGTACCTGCATGGGGGACCAAGAGGAAGCACCTGGTTCCTGGCTTCAGATTGGCACAGCGCCGGCCATAGTAGCCATCTGGGGAGTGATCCAACAGAAGGAAGACCTTTCTCTCTGTCTCTCTCTCACTGTCCAACTCTATCTGTTAAATAAATAAAAAAAGAAAAAAGTTAGCATTCATTCATGGTTGAAACAACATACAAAGAAAAACCTGCAGCAAATCAGGAATAGAAGTGAACTTCCTGGGTTTGGTGCTGTGGCACGGCAGGGTAAGTCGTCACCTACAGTGCTGATATCCTATATAGTGCAGCTGCTCCATTTCCCATCCAGCTCCCTGATAATGTGCCTGGGCAGGCAGCAGAGGTCGTCTCAAGTACTTGGGACCCTGCACCCACATGAGAGACCTTGAAGAAACTTCTGGCTCCTGGCTTCGCCCTGGCCTAGCTAGAGATGTTGCAGCCATTTGGGAAGTGAACCAGCAGATGGAAGACCCCTCTCTTTCTATGTCTCTCCTACCCTCTCTCTGTAACTCTGCCTTTAAATAAATAAAATAAATCTTAAAAAAGGGGAAAAAGTGAACTTCCTGAATCTGAAAAAGAACGCCTTTGAAAAACTCTCCAGAGAACATCATACCTAATAGTGAAAGACTGTATGCTTTTTCCTTCATATCAGGAACATGGCAGAGTTTCCCATACTCTACTTCTAATCAGTATTGTACTGAAGGTTGTAGCCAGTGCAGTAGTGGAAGAAAAACAAATAAAAGACATACACACAGTTTGGAAAGGAAAAAAATAAGGCTACCTTTATCTCATGACATGACAAAAACATTATGTCGCATAATTTTTGTGGTGTGAGACTTTTTAGGAAATAGTTTATTTAATTTGAAAAAGTTACAGACAGAGGAAGAGACAGGTCTTCTATCTGCTGGTTTGCCCCTCAAGTGGCCTCAGTAGCCAGGGCTGAACTAAGCTGAAGCCAGGAGCTTGGAGCTTCATCCAGGTCTCCCAGTGTTGGTGGCAGTGGGCCAAATACTTGTGCCATCTTCTGCTGCTTTCCCAGCCATTAGTAGGGAGCTGGATCAGAAGTGAAGCAGCTGGGAATTCAACTGGTGCCCATATGGGGTGCTGGCATTGCAGGTGGTAGCTTTACCACTATGCCATAACACTGGCTCCTGCTGTGAGACTTAATGAGTGACTCTAATAAGGATTCACCTGAATTTCTGTGTAGCAGTGATGAACAAATTGGAGGCTGAAAGTTTTAAAAATATAATTTACAGTTATATCTAAAATAGTAAATGGCTTAGGGATAAAGTTTACAAAATGTGTCAAGACCTTTATACTTCTACAATGAGTACTACAAAACACAGCTGAAATAAATTAAAG